TAATGACTAGAGAAGCCTAGTCGAAGCGTCGCTCAGTAATAAGCAGTAATTGTATTCCATAGAATTGTGACCTGTATACTCTAGTTCAATTACTAAATACCATTGAAACAATTTCTCAATATATAGTATCATTATTACAATGATCCTGGTGCTGATCAAGAAACATCCCCGGGATTTTGCTGCGTGGTTTCTCCCTGTCCGTAGTGCAGAACGAACGTTCTGGCAAAGGATAGTGTGTAGTTGTGTAGATGTGACAAAAACACAAGCCCCTGTGTACACATTGGCGTGCACATAAAAGAACCCTTTACATTTGGAATTCGATGAAGAAATGCCACAAACTGCACGCAGCGATCCATCTACGTCATACGTCATTATGATCACTGCCCCAATTAGCCGCCATTTAAAACGCTCACGTGATCATTTTGGGGCGGGACTTATCGACCGGACCACAGCTTTGTGTACACAACAGAGTAAAAATAACCCGAGCACGCACGTGTTTTATGTAAACACATGTCCTTAGCAAAACGTCAACTTCTGCCAATCCGGTAAAAACGATATATATATAATATGTACTAGTGGGTAATATTGCAATACATTCTTTGCCATTGTAAACTGTCTTTAGAGTTTCAATCTGTTTATCTTTCATAACAAGGTTAGATACTCCTAAATTTGTCTTCGCAAACAAAACCACCTCTTTGAAATTACCTTTTATGGGCGCCGCCATTTTGAATAATTAGAGGACTATTTTGTGATTCGGCTTTGATTAGTTTGACATCTTTCATACGCATAGCGCCTAAATAAACATATTTACTTTCATTCAATATGACAATAGAAGAGAAATAAATACTTCTTAAAATTACTAAAAGCATACTCAGTGTTTTCGACTAAAACCGCCGATGTAGGAATTAAAATGTCGGGTAATTAGCTTTGGGCCTGTTCTCAGATGGAGCTAGCTAAGTTTGGGATGGAAATGCCATTGTCCATAGAGAATTTCCGTCATAGCACTCTGCGTAGGGCAGGCCTATGCCTATCTTCAATAGTCCGAAACCAAGCTGCAAAATCTCGGGGAACTTTCTTGACCAACACTAGGATCAGTGTACATAATCAAACTGTATATTGAGAGGAAGATGGCCGACATCACATTTCAACAGGACAACGACATTTTTACGCGACATTACGACATTTGTAATGTCGAGGTGTCGGGTAAAAATGTCGTATTTTCGGGTTAAAAGGTCATGCGCCTTATGAAGGGCGACACCGGGACATCACGACATGATACCAATCAGCCACTATGCCTGCTGAGTTTTTTGATACCCATATTTATAGTATTTTTTATAGCGCAGGACTAGTGCATCCGCGGACCAGTGAACCCGCGGATTAGTGCACCCGCGGACTAGTGAGCACCTCTCGTTAAGATAATAAACAAAGTCTCGATTAACCATTTTTAAATTAAATTAAGTGGTCGAACTGTTCTAATTCGAGGACAATATTGGTGTCAGTCATAGAACTAGTTGTCGGGTGTTCGATCCCTGCATTGGCCGAGAAAGTTCATCTCGATTTTCCGGCGTGGTTTCCTCTTGTCAGTGATGCAGCTGCCTAGTCGTTCGGATGGGACGAAAAACCGAGGTCCCGTGTACACATTGGCGTGCACGTAAAAGATCCCTTGGCAGTTGGAATTCGATATAAGAGTAGGCCGTAACGCCGCTGCCCGGGCAAAATTTCCCTCATAGCACACTGTATGGCGTATGCCCGTCTTCAATTAGCCCAGGCTAGGTGCAGAAGAGTAGGACGTTAAACCCCATTTCATTTCATTTCATTTCATTTCATAGAACTTGTTAAACACGTTCCAAATATATTTTTTGTATTTTTCTCGTTTTCTCTTGTCCAGTGACAGTCAATTATATTTTTAAACTGTCAGATATCCTCCTACAGTCCATACTCCTCGCAATGTTTCATTTGATTATACCTAATCCCTCTGAACACTGCTGTAAAGGGAGCAAATTTCTGTTCCAAATTATGACTGGTCAATAGTCCCATTAACAACCAATAGCTAACTGCATAACAATATCATTACGCTTTAAACAGAGCTCCAAATTGGACCAAATGTTTACATAACGTTACGTCATGACTCATGATTTTATAATGACAATTAACCAGTGCATAGCATAATATTGCAGAAAAATAATTGCGTGACAAACTAGGCTATCAAAACGAATACAATGTAAACAATACTGTTTGGAGATGAACAATACTTTCACCGTTTTTATACGCCCACATTTTCATGTGGACGTATATTGTCGTCGCCCCTGTCCGTCCACAATTGTTTGTGAACAGTCTACAGGTCACAATTTTTATCCGATTTCAATGAAACTTGAAATATAGGTTTATCACCCTAAGATCTCGGCTCCTTTCGATATTGGCATGTATCGGACTGTAACTTCATGGATTATAGCCCCTGATTGTACGAAAAAATCACGTTTTTAGCTTGTGAACACTGTAGAGGTCACAATTTTTATCCGATTTATCCGATAGGTTTATCACCCTAAGATCTCGGCTCCTTTCGATATTGGCATGTATCGGACTGTAACTTCATGGATTATAGCCCCTGATTGTACGAAAAAATCACGTTTTTAGCTTGTGAACACTGTAGAGGTCACAATTTTTATCCGATTTATCCGATAGGTTTATCACCCTAAGATCTCGGCTCCTTTCGATATTGGCATGTATCGGACTGTAACTTCATGGATTATAGCCCCTGATTGTACGAAAAAATCACCTTTTTAGCTTATCCGATTTAGTTAAAACTTGAAATGTATGATTATAACCCAAAGATCTCGGTTCCTTTCGATATTCGCGCATATTGGACCGTAACTTCCTGAATTATGGCCCCTGATTGTAGGAAAAATCTTGTTTTTAGCTTGTGGACCCTATAGAGGTCATAATTTTTATCCGATTTAAAAAAAACGTATTATTATATCATCGTTACACCCTAAGGACGGCTGAGTTCGAATTTCGTGAAAATCGGCCCAAAACTGACAGACAAAATGGCTGCCGTTCGTTCTCAAATAGCGTAAAAATATGGTATATCAAGGTTGTGGACCCTATAGAGGTCACAATTTTAATCCTATTTTGTTGAAACTTGAAATGTAAGTTTATAACCCAAAGATCTCGGTTCCTTTCGATATTCGCGCATATCGGAACGTAACTTCCTGAATTATGGCCCCTGATTGTACGAAAAATCACGATTTTAGCTTGTGGAGCCCATAGAGGTCATAATTTTTATCCGATTTAAAAAAAAACCGTATTATTATATCACCGTTAGACCCTAAGGACGACTGAGTTCGAATTTCGTGAAAATCGGCCCAAAACTGACAGACAAAATGGCCGCCCTTCGTTCTCAAATAGCGTAAAAATATGGTATATCAAGGTTGTGGACAGAGGTCACAATTTTTATCCGATTTTGTTGAAACTTGAAATGTAAGTTTATAACCCAAAGATCTCGGTTCCTTTCGATATTCGCGCATATCGGACCGTAACTTCCTGAATTATGGCCCCTGATTGCACGAAAAATCACTTTCTTTTTAGCTTATTCTCTATCCATCTCTCGAAAATGTGGGTGTATCCTGCCTGGCAGCCGCTGGTTAATACCTTAAATCACCGTCCAAAGTTTTAGGAAGACCCCAGATTAAACGAAGGGCTGTCATGTTGCTGTACTTGGGACAGATTTGATTGAACGGGAAGAATAGACACACTCCCTCAAAAGCTCATGTATCAGAAACCAATCCATTAATGGCCAGAGAGGAATTTCTCGGGCCGTTGCTTCGGGAATATGACCACAGTCTCATAACAATTTTTGGTCTTTGAAGGTATTATTAGTGAGCAGAAATTCGACCGTGTATCTGTTATCATTTGTCACTTCAGTCAGTTAGTTATATATATAGTTTAAACAATAGGATAACTCGTGTTTTCCTTTTCCGTTCGTCACTTCCCGTTCTTGAAATCTTCATAACGCATCTATCGTAGCATGGGCGTCCGTTTCAGGGTCAATTTAAAGGTGTTTTTTTTGGTTAATTTGAAATTTTATCACCGTTAACTCTGTTGTAGTAGCTACCTTACTTTATATTTCATATATTTTGACATATTTATGATGTTTTCCTTCCTCACATTTCTGAGTACTAGACCATATACCAGAGTCTTGGGGGCATACAACCAAGGAGTTGGCCGCGGACATCACCAAATCCCAACATGCCACTGTTTAAGCTAATTTTACACAAGCTGTCTTAATGTGAATGAAAACATATTTAGTAAAGCTTCTGTGAGGTGACGTGATTGTGTGAATTACCAAATGTGTCAACTTTTCAATTGCAATTTTTTGTTAAAGTATTCTGGAAATTTTCAAAGTTTGTGTTCGCAGGAATCAAGTCTTGTAATCGCTCAGAAAGTTATGAAATCTATCCTTTTTCAAATAAATCGTTTTAATGTTTTATTCTGTCCATGCATGCCATATTTCTCTGGCACATATTTTTGTCTCAGAAACTTAAATCTGCTCGTCTAAATTTGACTCTGTGTGATAAAAATCCAGTTTGTCCAGATTACCAGAGCCGAGAAATCATTTCAGAGATAACCACGGTTCAATAACATAAAGTATTATCTCAGTATATCATGATCAGATCCTCGAAAGAAGGGTAAACGTTGCCACAATTTACTATTGTATTTAAGGGTGTCAAAAGGTACATGATTCAGAACCAATCTACTCACTGTTTATTGGATGCAACCATGTTTTATAACTAGTTTTAGTATAGTTTTTTTTAATAGCAGACGATTGGTTCGCACAACGCTACAAAATAAAATCTACAGGAAACGCACGATCAAGCTGGTAAAATTTATGACTTGAATAATTGGGTTAGGATTTTTAACACGAGACGTGGGAATTCCGTGTGTTTTGTGATTCAGAATAAGGTTGGCTTCGTTCACCCATCAGGGACATAGTCGAAGTGTGATCAATATAGGAGACGACGAAGCCAGAACAGTATGGATGCAGCGGCATTTTAACCGGTCGATAGACAGACAGGAATTACGAATTCCCCCTCGCCCTCGGCACACCATCAGTTTATATAATGTTTCCTGATTACCTCCAAATAGAACCTGTTGCCTCTAGAACTGTCACCTCTTGTTAACTTGTACTCTATCACACATAAAACAAGTTAGAAATGCTGAGATTCATTATTGAAGGTAAGTGTTCATTTTGTTATACTGAAGCATATTCAAAGGCTTAATTATGCCCTTGAAGATTCATATTCTTAATCCTGATCAAACAATAAGATAATAAGAGAGAGTCTAGTGACGGATATGAATATATCGATTCCTTCTGAAAATTTATTATATGAATCATAAATTACATAGATTTCAATTCACATATAAGAATAGCAATTTGAAATTACGAATTAAAAACGATCTGGATTGCTTATTTCTGGCGAAAAGCAAGATTATGTCCATTTGTATATGTTTCGTAAGAATGTTTGGTATTATTTTTCAACCACTGATATGATATTAAGGAGTGAAATAATGTTTGGTGCTCGGAAATGGATCAAAACAATGTTTTGGGGCATTAGCTAGGTTCGCAACCGATATCTTGATTCAATCTTATTATTTTTCTAAAGACTTCCTTGCGATAAACTTGTCGATATTACTTTAAACTAAAATGTGCAATTTCATTTTGTTATAGAAAATTTTCATATTTGATACTCAGAATATTAAATTAGGAAAATGGTACAATTTTGTTGTTTACTTAACAATATTCAACTAATCCACGAACCGTATTCAGCTGAAATCGTATATCATTAGTTAAGTCTCGATGCCCAAATACTTGAATTCAGAAAAAAATTTTCTTGACAATTGTCCCTCAAACGTTCAATATAACAATATAAGATTGACCTTTTTTAATCAATTGATAAATTTTTATAGCATACATTAAACTAGAGAACCAAAGGATCTTGGGACATGACAATTTATCCTTGACATGCCAGGAACTGCGATCTTCGTCAAGAGGTTCGATCTTTTGCTTTTGTTGAAAACTTCTCTCAGATCATTACTGTGCGCTGGTTGTTTTAGTTATTTAATAAGGGATATATCTTTAAATTTTGATCAAAATGGGATTTCTGATGTACGACATTGTGTTTGTGTGTTTTACTAGCGTAACCGCCAGAATTCGTCATTTTATGGGTTAGAAGTGACTGTCTTGTATAACAGATATTGACTTTTCTTCCCACAAAATTAGCAGCGGAAACAATGGTGTTAAATAGCTTCTACCGTGTAAATGGATTCTTCCACCCAAACTTATGTCTCAAATCCCAACACTGTATTTATAGGCATGCCAAATCTGTTTAGTGGACTTATGTTACGCAGAAATAAGCTTATACGTTAAATGATTCTTGTTGTTTTTTTCTAAACAATATTTATTCACAGAAACTGGATTGGAAAACAGGCAGAAGCCTATAGACCCCCTTTCCATAACAGTACAAACATAAATATATATTGACAAGATGTAAAAAAGAAAAAAAAAAGAAAAGAAAGTAAAGTAGAGGAACGATTAAATTATAAAATATATACAAACCACAATCAGAAGATTTATATTTCATACATTTTCATAAGGAGTTTTCAAAATCTTTGGGAGATGTCGAGGAAGTTATGTACTACCAAAAACATTTCTTCAGAATTGTTTCTGTCTTCAGTTCCGAATGATAAATTTTGAGAAAGTTGTGGGAGTTTTGATTTGTCGCAGATCGTGCATGTGAATGTAAGGGGCAAATTAAAAGAAAATGTTCAGTCTTCAAAAGCGTGAACACAATCGCATGTAGGGCTGTCAGAAATATGTCTGAGAAAACGATGTCCGTTTAGATCACTGCAACAGAGTCGAATGCGAGAATGGTGAATTTGATTTTTCCTGCTTCCAGAGTAATATGTTGAAGGTATAATTTGATCAAGGTTTAGATTTAAAAGAGGATAAAGTAGGTAAGTTTCTAGTATAGAGATCGAGTAGATTCCATTCTCTAATTGTAGTTGATATAAAAGAAGAAAAAAATAAAGAAGTTCTGCAGAAATATCTTGGGATGTTGCTTTGGTTTCGTAGGCGATAAGAATTTATATAAGTATTCGGGAGTGATATGGTTTATGATTTTGTAGAATAAAATTATTTTTGTCGCCTTCTTCTCACCTGCACCTTTCACAGCACCGCATATAGTCCTGGTAAAAGATCTAATTTATGTGTTAGTTCGGCGGTACTCCCATCCCAAATAATGTCATAGTAGTCGAAATGAGGAAGAATATATGAGGTATGCATGGTTTGGAGATATCTACGACTTAACCTATATTTTAATGAGCGAAGACAATTTACCAGTTTACTTGTTTTAGCCAAAATCTTATTTATATGAGTATCCCAATTGCAGTTTGTTTGGAAAGTCAGCCCCAGGTGATTGTGCTCAGAAACTTCTTTAATTGCAACATTGTCCAGATTTAGTGTCGGAAGAAATGGATTCTTTTTATTTGCTAGTGCTAGTGTTTCCGTTTTCAGCGGGTTAAAAGATGCAAGCCACGTCTTAGCCCAAAGATTTATTCTCTCTAGATCACTATTTAAGACTTCTGCACATTCTGTTTTAGTCAGTTATTTTCATATATAAACTAGTGTCATCAGCGAGTAATCTAATGTTTGATTTTATATTATTTACTATATCGTTGATGTATATAATGAAAACTAATTGACCGAAAACGGAGCCCTGTGGAACACCACCAGAGACCGTTAATAACTCAGAGGAGGCTCAGTTGACTATAACCTTCTGTTGTCTGTTAGACAAGTAGTCTCTGAACTATTCTAACAAGTCCCCTCTGACCCCAACGGCCCCAAGCTTATGACAGTGTGTAGCATGCCAAACTCTGGCAAAAGCTTTACTGGTGTCACAGAACACCGTTCTCGTATATTGACCTTGATCGATGGCTTGACAGAAGAAGTGCGTAAGATCTATTAGTTGATAAATAGTTGAGTCTCCTTGCAAAAAAAAACCGCTTTGCAAATTAGTAATAATATTGTGATCCTTAAAGTAGTTAAATGCTTGTAGATGCATTTTTCGAAAATTTTGATTATGATGCCAATTTCCGCATAGAGATGGGTCGCCTTTTTTATGAATTGCCGTTACATTTGATGATTTCCAAATATTAGGAACGGTTTTAGCTCAAGTGAAAGATTAAAGATGTTACATAAAGGTTTGCTAATTTCGAAGCAGGTGAATTTCAGGAATTATCTGGGTCTGTAGCTTTTGAAGAATCAATAATAGAAATCATGCCTTCAACCTTTTTAGGTGTTAATTTTAGGTGACAAAGTGAAAAAGGATTTTGTTCGAGTTCAGGAAGTTGTGCCTTTATGTAGTCAAGCGGTGATTGGTTAATAAAGTATTCGCTTAAACAATTTGGTTTGTCCTTCGGATTAAAATATGGAACCCCATTATTCATAAGAGGCGGAATACCCCCTTTTCAGATTTTTGACCCTTCACAAACGAGTTGACTATATGACACCGATCCTTTTTGCCAAAATTTTGATTATCATTTAATTTCTGGTCTACTTTTTCATAGTATTCTTTTTTGCATTTTCTAATCAAGCTAATATAAACGTTCCTAATATTTCTAAATTTTTTCTAGTCGAGGTCCAAGTTTGATTTTACTGCTTTCCGGTGAATTTTGTTTTTCTTTTTGCTCATTTTCCGAATAGTGTTGTTCATCCAAAGTTTGTCTTTTGATCTAATGGTTGCAGTTTTGTTTGGAATATGTGTTCTTGCCAAATTTATTAACTCCCTTGTGAAGGCGGTACATGTAATGTCAATAAAATTTTATTCAATAGTGGAGTCCCATAAGATACTCCCAGCGTCACGTTGTAGTTGGTCAAAGTCAGCCTTATCATAATTCCATATAGTACGTGTGAAGCTAATTGATTTCAGACGATGAAAATTTAACCGACAGTACACAGGGCAGTGATCACGACAGGAATTGTCTAAGCAACCTGAATCAAAAATATAACCGGAACAATTCATTAATATTAGATCAATCAATGTATTGTTATCATTATTACCATATCTGGTTGGATTCTTGATAATTTGTTTAAAATCAAAAAGAACATTTGCCTGCCGAATGAATAAAAGTATAGGATTTTGTAAAGAGATCAATGTTAAAATAAACTAATATAAAGATATTATTTATGTCGTCTGCTCCTGCCAATGAAAACGAATTAAAAATAGAATTATTTAATTGAACAGTGGAATTTGGGGGTCTATAAAGGTGCCAATTAAAAATGTGTATTATGAATATTAATTTCTACCCAAATGCCCTCTGTATTGTCGGTTTATAAATCAGATCTACGTTTTGTTAAAATGTTGTTGCGAGAATACACTGCTACTCCCCCACCCTGTCCTACAGTCCTGTCTTTGCGAATTGGTGCATTAAAACAAGGGATAGAAAGGGTGTCCGATGATATGCTTGTGTCAAGCCATGTCACAGTTAACAAGATCAAATTGAAATGTTCAGAGAATTCTGCGGAAACAATGTCAAGTTTATTGCATAAGCTTCTTACATTTAGATGCACGAGAGATATGATGCCATTTGGTACCGGATTTTCCTCGACATCTCCACCACGTAACAAGAGTGTAATAATGACATGTAAAGAAATAAAGGAATAAAATCAGGAATGTAGAATGACGAATAGCGGGAGGTTTGCTCTAGCAGATTGTGGTCTTACAATACGGTTAATATATTTACATTTGAAATAGAAACAGTGCAACATATGTACAAAGTGACAGAAGGAAGTGTTTAGGTGCACAACTTGATTTCTTATTACACGGATTGCAAACGGGCAAACAGTGTTAATGACAATCTGGCAAAAAAATTACGTAACGTATGACCAAAGATCACGTCTAACGTAACTATTTTGATTGCCATAGCCGTCGGATTTAATTCTAAGGTGGACTTAAATTACGATGTTCTTAAGGTATGAGTCTTTATTTCGTTAATTTTTATACAATTTTGTAAAATATTTTCCGTTAATTAGATCCTGTTAGTTCTAAAAATTTATTGACTACCCTTTCATCCCTTAGACTTAAGCGAGGTTTTGATTAGATTTTGATACATCATGATTACGCCCATGCAGCAGTCATTTGAAAACTTCACAAATTTTAATGTCTTAGTATCAAGGT